ATATAGGGGAGTCAATATCCGAAAAGGTTACTTACAATTTGCAGCAAGCGACTATGTTATGGCTTGCTTCCTGAGCCCCACTACAGATCCAAGCAGCAAAGACCAAACGGCGATGTTTCATCGCACAGCAGTAAGGGAACCGAGTCCCTCGTCCGAGAATTTAGGGATGCTCCATCACCATCGTAGGGCCTGTCTCCGTGCTAATTCGCCCATACTAATGTCGTAAATGAGAAAGTCATCCAGGAGAAATATTTAGGATTGCTTGTGGTCATACAGGGCACCGTGGGGTCAGGTGGGCACTGGGCGTTGCTAATCAGTGAGTTTTGCTTTGTCGACCGACCAAGGATCGAGGTGTTCGCGTCACCGCGCCGCTCGCAAATCGGCTTGCGCGACCAAACTGACCGGTCGTATAACCACTTCCATCACCCGACCTTAACCATATGGCGTGGTCGCTTACGTAGTGAGCCGCCTCACGATGCCAGGAAGGTGCTTGGCCGGCCGGTTGAGTCGCGACAGAACCGCTATAAGAATATAGAAATACTTGCTGGCCGCGGGGAGCGTCAGACAGTACACAATACCGTCCTCATCCATACGACCTCCGTCTACAATTGGGCGGCGACAAACTAAACGAAAGAACGAACGAACGGCGGCGCCTGTGACTGGCCCAGAATCGCCGAAGTCATGGGCAGTTGGCGGCTGTTGGGTGGAGAAAGTGCAATTCATTTGGAGGTTTTAGCACAGACCGATACAGCCTACACACATGCACACACATACACAGACACACACACACACACATATATATACATATATAGAAATATATGTATATATGGAAGCAGTGCAGCAGCGAGAAGAGTTTCTACTAGTATGACGACCGAAAGAATAACCATATAATGCTTCCATTTGTTGTCGGTTTGGCACCCCCCTCCTGTAACCCCTTTCAGTTCCTCGAGAGTCTTTCTAATCATATGAAGAGGGAACGGAGCCGATCACAGCGCGACAGTTACTCCATGAATGCCTGTGCTAGCAAGCTTGAATTCATCGCCGTCGAGAGGTGCAAGGAGGGGAAGTTTAAGGAGAGAGCAAAGCCAACTGTGTATTAATCTTTAGCGCGTTATAGCCCTCTGGTTCAGATGAAGAGCTCTTATGTTGCTGCGGTCGAATCGAAATTGACCCATAAACAAGCATGTGGCTTGGTGACGACACAAGAAAGCAGCAGAACTCTGTGGTTAGGAAATAAGAATCTCTTATCTAACTTGGGGGTAAGAGTAGCGGAGACGCTAAGAGGATCAGTAGTGGCTTGTATTGTCCTTAATCCCCTTCACTTCTAAATTCATTTTTAAAATAAGAAAAATAATAGATATAATTACCGCCATACGCCTAGTTATCGGGACGTTGTTGCACACAAGGTGGGGCACGCGGAAAAGTCCAACTGGAAATCAGTGCAACAACGGACTTTTGGTATATTCGGCCCCCATGAATTGCTAAAGAGCACTCACATCAGATGGAAAATACCTCGCACCTTCAAAGTTTATCCCGGATTTGTCGCCAGCTACTGCCAAATATATTGATCAAAAAGTAACTGTTAGGTGGAAGCTCTTCCAATATCCAGTGGAATATTCGCTTAGGTGCTTCTGAGTGATTCGGTTCAAATATAACTGTTTCTAGACCCTTCGAGAAGTTATTATAGCTAAGAAGCTTACGTGTCATCCAGCTACTATTATGGAGTCAGTGCGCACAAAATCATATAAGAGACATGACATTTGAGTAAACTTTAATTCACACATATTGCTTCTACGAAAAATCTATGTAGGACCAAGAGGAGTAGTCTTTCAATATGAACACGGTTAAACGCAGTAACCCACAAACAAAGCCTTTAGCTACTAATTTTTTTGGCATGTGGGACGTTCCGGAGTCTCATGATAATAATGCATTGTGATAAAATTACTCGAGATTCTTAGCAAGTCTCGTTCAGTCTCGGATTTAGCCCCGCATTTGACATGACGCAATTTATCTCTATATATTTCTTACCCATTCGCTTTCATCTGAAAGAGTCGGTTTTGAAACGGCCCGCTTTTGAACGCTATATGGCTTTTTCAAAGCATGCTTGGAGAACGAGCCAAGGTAACAAAGTTTGACAAAAACATTTTACATTACCGTATACAATCCTATTGACGTCCGGTACGTACGATACATTCGACGCTAGAAGTGCTCAAACTTACCTTCAAACCACCACTGTAGACGGTTCTTTTTGAATTGCAACTTCTACGTACTTGTTTCGAGATTACCTAATGAGGTTCGCTGAAGCATTTACGACACTGTCTAGCTAGATTCTTCAGCCACAACGATGAGTGACGTTTTTGCTCGGAACGGCTCATCACGATAAGCTGAAGGGCTGAAAGCTCAATAGCAAAAGACTTTTGGATCGTTTTTGCCACTGGCAGCGATGACACTAGCTTTAAGCCGTTTGGACACCATTCCTCCCCCGCGGAACTTTATCACAGTAACATTGCTGGCGTTTTTTTTTTCAGAATACTTCTTGTGTACATATACCGAGCTATTTGCCACAGCAAAAATACGTTTATTTGGAATTTTGGAACAAAATAACAAATTCATTATAGCGGAAAGGCGAAGACGGTGCGTCTTTTCGTTTTCCCGGTATGACCAAGGATCAGTATTATCCAGTATCTTCGTTACTAACGAATCTCTACAGGAATTGAAAAGCTAATTTTTTTTGCCAGATATCGACGGCTTACGTTATTGCCAAGTTTCGTGCGGCCTCTGAAAAATCCAATAGATATTTCCCTATGGGGGACCGAAAAATCCTCAGTAGGGGATATATTTAAATGTCATTAAAAAATCATTAAAATGATTTGAAAAGTCATTTTTGATACACCCACTTGAATTTTTTATGCAAAGGTTAATGGCCATTTTGGAAAGGAGAGTATTTAGTGCCAGTTAAGTGGTCTAGACCGGCTCGAACAGTTAGTCTTTTTGAGTTTGCACCTTTTGGATCTTTAAGCCATTTTGAGCCCTCGAATTTTTACGGCCTTTGGCCTATTACCACCTCAAAATTCAGTTGCAATTGTTTGTATGTAGCGTCTGTGGGCGACGTTTTAACCACCTTTTTATATCCACCACTATCGCTTAATACATAGTAATTATTGTAAAGGTTATTTACGGCGTGAAGAAAGAACAGTGTTAACTCCCACATTGAGGCTGTGGTCGCGGTAGATGCGACAATATTGAGTACATCTGGCGGCCAAGAATAACATATCTAGCGATCTTCAAATAATACCGGGAGCTATCTGTTTTTTTTAGATACAGTCTACGAAACAAAAGATAAAGGAAGACGTCTTCTATATATATATAAGACGCACAATAAATAAATAAATAATATGGTAGCTGTGGCTATAAAAGAAAGGCTAGGGCTACGAAATTTTTAATGGCACTTCCAAGAGAACTAATATTCAGGAATACGTTCACTATAGAACGTTCACTACTACGAACTATGTCGTAGACGTAAGGACGACGGCTAGAAAGGATAACGACTCAAGCCCATTTCACGCTGAGATTGTAAGAAGATAATATATATATATATGTGCTAAACATGGTGGACATACAAACGATGAACCGCAATGAGATTTACTATGTTTCAGTAATATTAGCATATGTGCGACAATGCTAATTTCAATACTGATTTTAGAAAGCTGCTGTTTATTTATAGTTTATAGCGCAAAACAGTCCGCTACAATTTTTAACAGAAGTTACTATTTTCTGGCCTATATGTCATAGCCTATAGGGCAGCACTCTAAATATAATCCCATTCTGATGTCCTTATATAGGCTGGAAGGTATGGAGCACACACGTTCTCTTAGTAACGCCTCTTTGGATTCAGTAACACAATCCATATCCAATAAATCCACGACAGCTAAACGACGACCAACTTACTGTTGAATGCATATGATAAAAGCCATACCAGGTTGTTGCTTTTATGTGCTTTTCTTGCCACATGCCTCTTTTTGATCCCTTTGCCCCACCTTTCTAGCCGCCCAATCAAATCAGTCTTCATGGTTTTCATCAAGATGTAACAACGAGTTGTTGTTATTGAATGTCGCCAACACGAGCCATGCCCTAAGCCGTGGTAATTTTACTCCACGTTCTGTGCCCGCTTTGGCCCCATCCATACATCCGTCCGTCCAACTGATTGACTTTACATTTGAGCCCTAGTCGCACAAGGAGCCACGAACAACGTCGACCTAAATCCGACAGCGGCAATGGGCCGCTCCCCCGCGATCAAAGAAGAAAGCATATTCGTCCGCTCGTCGCTTCCCTGCAGACCGGCACTTTCTTGTATAGCCGCATGGTAAACAGTGACTCTTACAGAAAGATAAAAGGACAGAGAGAGATGTATAAGGAGCTGTCTGGGGTCGGCTGACAAACCGGACGGGGGCGCAGTCCTGCCGTACCCCTATCTCTGTTCCGCCCAGATAGATCGAAAACTTTGCCAGTAAGTCAAAGTGAGTGAGTTTCTTAGCTCGTTGTCCTCGATTCAGAGAAGAACAGCCAGAATTTGGGACCATCGCAACATCATCAACTGACTCTGCAGCACACTCTGTGCTCACCTATAGGACACGTTCGGCATGTCCTGTATGATTTTAACATCGTCCCATTTTAAGGCCAGGAGAGGTAGACGCAGTCCTTCGTAGAACACGCTAGAATTTAGGCCAATGCAGTGTAACATCGTATTGGGTTGGATTCCAGCACGGCTATGCGATAGAGAGAGTAGCGTCTGGCCCACGCTGTCTTTACTCGAGTTCATCGGGAACATCTGATTCTGAAATTGGTGTCCACGAACAACTGCTTCTGCGAGCGGCGGAGTTCGGATCTGCTAACGTGCAAGCAGCCTAGCAGGTTTTACCGCTAGACGACCGCAACGACGAAGACTAGGTAAGCAATCCTAATTCTGCATATTCAGCCCACAGTTCTTTGCCCCCCTCCAAACCCAGTTTCAATTTCCCGAGCACGCATACAGACAGCTGCTATTGCTGTCGGTTCTTCTTCTTTCTCAGAGCTTCTTATCTCCCGCAGTTGTGTAGCTCCCACCAAATCTCCGATCGGGTCGGGTTTCATCCAAAGGTACCGACCGCGTCACCGCTATCAGAGGGGGTGTTCTGGGTGGCTAACAAGGCTTGGACTTGGGCTCTAGCTAGGAAAGGAGACTCGAGTCTGATTTGAGGTTGTTTGCCCCTACCTACAGCAATGAGGCAGAGGGTGCGGCCCTTACTAGACTAGCCATTGGCACTCAAGTCGGATTTTATTGCTCGCGTAAATATGTTGTTGTCCTACTCGGACTTATACTGAATCAACAGTCTTCCGACTCCAACAACAACCGCAACAATAGAATTAAACACATACAGTCGTTATTTATTTATGGGACCCAGCTTTGCAAACGTTAATCTCGTAAACACATGTCAATAGTTGATTAGTCATCCCAATCTCATCCGTTACAAAGCTTCTTAAAAAAGTAATTAGTAATAATAGTCATAACCATTTCAGCAGAAAAAAGTACATCGTACTTCAGATGGAAGGACTTCGTCATATGTTGTTGAAGAGCAAGCCTTGAACGAATTCCCAGTGCAACGTAAACGTGATAGGAGACTGGCGAATGGAATCATTTATAAAGAAGGAAATAGGTAAGTAAAAACAAATCTATGAAAGGAGTGTGTATATATGCTTATGCCGTTGGTCCGAGACTGGCAATGCATCACCTGGCAGCTATTTATTATTTTCTGACTTCCGTTATAAAAGTCAGTGGAGGACGGGTAACTAGAGGCTAGACCGAAGGTACTACCTATGACGAAATAGGACGGCAAACCTTAGACATATTTGCCGATAGCCATAAGCACACACTATATTCATAGGGGGCGGAAAAAGTCGTATAACAATTGAAAACAAGTTACTTGAGAGCCGGAGAGTCATTATTACAAAAATCTGCTGATAAATCCATTATTTATTGCAATTATCTGCGCATCTCCGCTGATTTTAAGTGAGGTCAAATGTAGATTCTCCAACTGTCAGGTGACTTTTACTTCAAACTGTCGGTATAACCTTATCATACCCTGCATAGATTGAAATATGCCTCCAGTGGAACACGGACCGAATTTCTATGGGCTGCTATATTCCTCGTAGCACCATTCATTCGACCTTAATTACTCAAAATAATTGCACGATGTCTATGTAGTGGGCACCGACCGGCCCGCCCAATTTGACAGCTGTTGCGTACACTTCCCTCGTTTTCAACGGTTCTTCGACAAAGTAGCAGCCTTTGCAGCTCATCAGCTGATGAACGCTTAAGTCTACGACCGTTGCGATGTTCATGTTGTCTACGAATGAGGAACGCGGTTTCGATGCCCTACCTTGTCCGCCAATACGTTGACAAGGAAAAACAATAAATGTACAGTTTCCTCATCAACTTCACATAGGCCCTCGGTGCCGGCAGACGGGAGGACGGCGATGCTGGGTGCTACGGCTTCGCTGGCGTCACTGTCTTTAGGAGACAGCCTGCCCCAACTTACCGGCCCCGTTCGGGCAAGCCGATGAGACAACTGCGACTAATCAATTTCTAACGAACTATCCTTTACATGCATTTATTTGCCTATCTGTTCATTTTTATTGAGCAGTGACACAAGACAAAAAGACATTGGACTCCACAAGCGCTTACGCCGTTGACCATGGAAGGCTCGAGGGTGTACGTTAATTGCGTTACTCCCCACTCTTGAAATGCCTCCCGTTGCTTGCGCCAATAATATCTTGATAACTTTAGCAAGAGGAAGAGATGGGGTGACTGAACCACTGAAAAATCAGAAGTTATGCACAGCTGAGATTTCATTACCCCCCCCCCCCCCCCCCCCGAATATGTTTGTACAGGCACACTTATTATGAGTAAGTTGCAAAAGTAAACACAACAATATGATAAATGTTTGATATATTTCTTTATTTACGTAAACTGTTTGTTAGCTGTGCGTTGTTAGGGACGATCCCAAATAGCAACCGCTAATCTTATAAAAGACCTAAGGGTAATTAGCCTAAACACTGGTGAGCTCTTCGTCGCAATAGGTGTGATGTATTTGTCTGCTACCCTTGTTAGCAGCCGAAACTCAGAGAAAGCAATAAATCCGTAATGGCGAACAACCGTTGTTCTCATACTTTGAACAAAAATTAGCTATCGTTCAATTCGTTCGCTTTGGACCCCGTCATCGAGACTTCGGGGCATTCATCGGAGCTTCTGGGGCACCCCACGTCGATAGCGTTCTGGGTTGCAAATAAATGAGCGGCTACACAAAACCCGGAAACAGGTTCTAGTTTAACACAAAGGAAAACTTACACCGGCGGAAAAATGGTGCAGACTTTAAAGTTGATCGTCGTTGATTCAAAAGTGCATTTCTATTGATCCTGCTCATGTTTATATGAAAGCACTAATGAAAAGATCTGAGGTAAATGAGCATCCCGCGCAACCGATTGTTTACGTAGGCCTCGAGCAGAGGCTATATGTACTAAAAGTCAGGCAGATACTCTCTGAAAGTAATAGAACAAAGAGATTTAACTAGTGTGATTCAGTATTTGATAGCAGAAGCAAATTCTCGGCAGCAAATATTCTTGTTATGGTGTCCAGTAATGAAGACTATTATGCCATCACGCTACTTCTTGGAACGTACCGCTAAAGGACTTCGCCTGCGTGTTTTACAGGTGAATCTGTAACCGTAAATAGCTGAGTATTTGAACATATTTGAAAAAAGACCATATGTCTTTCAATAAGATGCTGCATCGATTCACACAAGCCAATTTGTGTGGACTGGGCACTTCAGAACATAACAATGTTTTGGGGCGGACATATATGATCGTCGAAAGGCCCAGATTTGAATTCGTTAGGTTAATCTGTATGGAGCATTTTTAAACGAGAGTCCAAAGAGTTTTGACGTGACAGCGTCAGCTCGCTCACTCGTACTTTTGTCAAGAAAACGATTGCAGGATAGAACGTTTGGAGCGAGTCGCAGAGCTGCTTGCGGCTTGAATGACCCAAATGATTGTATGCAAATCGATAATATTACCCATTTTATTGAATTTGAGAATATTTACTGTACGAAAAGCGATTATGGTGGAAAATTCCGAGAAATATAATAGTTTCATCATCGCCTGATCCGTCCTTACGCCACAACACGGTATATTGTGAGATGCACCTTTGAAATTGAGCACAATGACATTGTAAATCTATACCGAAACATCGATATGGTAGGACATCGTATTCGTGGAACACCTAGCTGATTTAGGAACGTGGCCAACTTTCAGATTGCTTCGAATAGTTCAGGTGACACCAATATGAGCGCACGGGTAAATCTAGCTTTCATTTGCTGCATCTCTGCCAGCATCTCCTTCCCACAAGCCACCTGGTAACGGCTCCAAACCTATCGTATACAACAGATTTTCGCGTTGAGCAGGAACTTATGTTATCAGCAAGTGCCTGTGTTGTACATAATGCCGCCCGACACGACATCGCAACGAGGCAATCCGTGACGTTCACCCCTTAGACTGACAGGTCCGGCGCAAACCGTTACCAAAACGGTAACCAACGACCAATGGCATCACCCAGCATCGGCAGCGTCTCGTCTATCCGAACTCTTCGCTGGCGTCTGTTCTTTGGTTACCTAGCAGACGTCTGAGTGGTGATATCCCTGGCAGCAGCAGCAGCTTCCGCAGATATAACCCACAGCCACAACGGCGGCTGTGTGTGAACTGCAAGTGAGCGCCGGCCTGAGAGAGAGTGACAGCAGCGATTTACGCAGAGCGCATTTGTGGCCCGCACAGTTAAGGTCCATCAATATGGTCGCTATCGGCGGAAGTAGCCGACAGCCGGTGACTACCCACAACCGGTAGTAGCTGTCGGCCTATTGCCCTATGGGTGTTAGTGGCTATAGTTGTTCCAGTAGGGGGTTCGTTCCACCAGCGCGGAGACACCACCAGACCGTGCGCGCCGCCTCCATGTGCACCCGCCATACTACATACAACGTGCCCTGGCATCCTCGCTGTTCTTCCTCGTCTTCGTTGACCCGGACAAGATTCGAGTCGCTCCGGTTTTGTTCAGCTTCCCGCCATTTAGCTTTGTCCTGCTGGTTTGTCCGCCTGCCCTAGTCGCAAAGGCACTCGCGGCCCGAGTAAGTCCTTTTGCAAGCCGCTTGCTTGTGACCATTGGGCCTATTCGGCGGTTTTCGGCGCTCATTGTTGGATGTCCCTCAACATCCGCCCACATTTGCCGGTAACTGCGGCAAGCCGGCAGCTGCCTTCTGTTCGAGCGTAGTTTCACGCCGCGCGAAAGAAAGGCAACACGCAGAGGTAGGAAGTGAGAGAAAAGAGGGATTGAAGCCAAGAGACACGCACGCCCTCACATCTATTTGCTGCTACACTATTTCTGCACTTCTTCCTTGGTAACTATCGCAAACAAGCCCAGGGGACAAAAGAGCCTGGCCTACAATCTGTCTAGGTACGTGGCCTGATAGAGTGCGAGTGATACAAAGCCTGTTCACAGGAAAGGAGATGAAACTGGAAGAAAAACAGCGAGCTAAACACCAAGTTAAGAGTCCGGGCGCTCTTATCGGGATCTGATTCTCCAATGTCTGCAGTTGTAGTGACGATAGTGACGGCGATGTCAGGAACACCCAGATTTCTTACACTCGTACCAAACATAGACGTATAGCATAATAGTATTGGTGCCTTACTGATCACAGTACACTATATGCAAGTTTCTCCATGGCAGGAGTACTGCTTAGAGTAACAGCAGTCCTCGTCGTGTGGGTTTGTATATACACAAAGAGGCGGGTCTGTGATTAGACTCAACTGAAACTCTATCTCTCTCTCGGACCATCGATACTTGCAAACACTGCATTGTAACTGTCAAGTCTATGATCGACTAATGGCTATGGATGAGCAGTCTTGTCTACCGACAAGAAACTGTTCATAACGGATCGTCTGCATTGGGTGTGTAACTATTAGTCAAACGCTAAGGGAGTGATCCACCATCAGGCTATGAACTGGCGTAACAGAAGATATCGCCATACTATATCTTCCCCCTATGACGGCAGCACAAAGATGGTCTGTAAATGATACATTATCAGGAAGTGGAATTGTCCAGTAGCAATAGGAATTAAACCGATTCTTTGTACGTGTGAATAGCACAAACGGCAATCTATTCAAAGATCTGCTTCTTCCTGCCTAATGGCACAATCGATCTGCTATTTTCTCCATGGTGGAAATTAAAGTCTGGGATTATTTTCGCACATATGGCACAAGCTCAAGTTTTTCTTGTTTTTTTCAACAAGGACATTTTCCATTTTTCTATGTTAGTTCACCTTTGATAGGTCCAGAGGTAGTAATTTACTCAATACAGTAACTTCAGAAACGATTTTGCGGAATCTCCTGTTTGGGGGGCGGACGTCAAACAGGATCTATGGTGTATCTACCCGACGTGGTTCGCCAAGAGCTCAGTGTTAATCTGTGAAAGGTTGAAAGAAATTTTCTCTCTTTTTATATGAAAAAAAAAATCATACTAAATGATTCACTTAGAACTCTATGAATCGTCTATTAACGGAGATCATATGATATGCCCTACTGACTGTTCTGGCAGGTCATACGACCTGAGCTTACCTTACTTTTTCTACGCGAGATATCAAACTTTACTATTAATGAAAATCACTAGGTTAACGCACCACTTTTAATGTTGTTTTTGCTAGTTTTTTTTTTTTTTTTTTGCTAGCTCCTGGATAGTCAAGCTAAAGCGGAAGTGCCCATATAGCTGTTTTAGTAGTTCGAAAAAATTAAGAATCGAATATTGCGAAATTCGAGTTACTGCTTCCTTTTAATCTACCGCTGCTATATGTATATATAAAATACTGCTATGCTGCAGTAAAGCAGCGTAATGAACATTCTGAATAAATCACATGAGCATACTGCTAAATCGGTTTCAGGAACTCAAGATGACATTATGGCTTAACTTGTAGAAATAACATAAACTGGAAAGTTTATAATGACAAGACAAAGGCCAGTTTGTCCAAGGGATTGTCTCTGCAGGCGGACGTGAAATACGCGAGCGAGATAAATGATCGAGGCGTTTCGGTCGGCGTGATCATTTGAACCTCTCTGTTTAGTAAAAAAAAAAATGGCCAGTCGAAGTTTTATTGTGCACATTTGTATCATTCTGTGATTCGTCGCCCTTTACTACTAAAGATAGGTAAAGGAGTATTTGCCAACGGGGGCCATGGCCTTTTTGGCTTTTCCGGTAAAGGCTGAACGTCTCGATGGAAACTGATACGACTGATTAATTCTGCCAGTTCGTGTAGCAAGCGTGTTTTCCATGTATCCGAAGTAATTCAGGAAACACGAATCAGCCATGACTATTGCACTGATGTTCGCGTATCGTAAATTAAGCCTGCACAAGGAACGGACCCTTCGGATCTACCAGGTTTATGTCAAATGAACCTTAAAACAAGCTGAAGCACCTAAGTAAAGATAGTTCATGCCAAAAGCATACTAGGTCAGTTCATCCTGTCTTGCAACTAGAGTGGACGACATGCGTGACAGTAGTACGAGTTCGCATAACTGTTTTTCCATCTGCGAAGGCTATTGAAGCTGAGGTATTGCTATTGAAGTCAGATTTGCTGCGCTAGGTTTAGAGCGGACGAGGACCCTTTTTTCTAGCTTATATGTATTTTAGGTTTAGGATGCCAGTCGCCACATGTTGCGGTCAATGGACGTGGTTCATTACAATTTTTGCTACCGATTTATCATTGTTCAAGCGACCTGGTCATCGTTGATGACGTTTGTGCGTCATAATTTCGCTGACCTATAATGTACGACATAATGTACGACAACGATAAAATAAAACTTTCTTTTAGTCAGCTTATTAGATTGGTAGAGTGCCATTGAGAGTAATTTGCAGGACATGTCGAGTCATCAATAGTACAAGCGAATGATAGGACCGCGTGCAACCTTCTGCTAAATTTTCACACTGAATTTATACAGACCGTGCCTCATCAGAGAGCTCACAGTCATTCAGATTTCCTGACGAACTTAAATTGGCGTACAATTTAAGTACATAATTTCTTTGGCCAACTTCAGTTTTCTTCCGTCTTCTTATTTCTAAGTTTCATTTTTTGTTATTCTGGCACACGCCACCACGGCGCCAGTTGGCCATAAAAAAAAAAAAATCCGTCGTACGCTGGGCACACACATATCAAAAACTTAAATAGTTAAAGAAGCACATTTAGTCACCAACAGACGCACGCGATCGCGTGCAATGCTCAAGGAAGACAAAAAATGTCCACGCATTTATTGTCGCTGCCTGTAAACGATCTGGCGTCTGATGGAGAAATATTGTTTAGCATATGAGCTGTTCATACAGTGTTAGGGCGCCATCAGCGACAAACAGGTGACACTGTGGACAGATCTTCTGCGGGGGAAAGGACGCGACGAGCAGTGAACGATGACACAAACCGTCAAAAAAAAAATCGTTGGCGACATTCGGGTAGTTATGTTGTTTTTACAACGACCTGAAAGCAATCCTTGATCTGGCACTGCCACTGCAAATGTTTGACAAAGCAAATATCTTCTTTGGATCTCCCACACCATCAGAATTCTTTACACAGATTGCTATCATTTGCTTGAAATAAGGCCCTTGGTCAACTCCGTCAATGGATTGAAGTACTCATTCGCGTTGGTGCGGTTGAAGTAGCGGACTAAGCTGCATTCATTATAGAATGGTCCAGCGTGTTGGCGAGACACCATAAAATCGGAGAAATGAGTTCCTCTCAGTGGAAATCAACACATACGTAGGTCTAAGGTCAAATATGTTCCCCGTCCTATTTTGCCAGGGTTGCTACATGTTCTGCGTGAGCTTTACCGAACTTCAAACCCATCGATTTGTCTATTTAAATAAATCAATAGACAATTAAAAGGTCCGAACAGCCAACATGTCACCTTGAATGAAACATATTTCCCGTTATCACAAATGATATCAAGTTAATATTGAATCACCTGATGATCTTCAGCGAGGGTACGCTGTTTTATCCTAATCATCAAAGATCGACTTTTTTTAATAATGTTTCTTTTCTTATATGACAATATTACATTAACGTGAGGTTAGCGTCAACATGTTTTAGTCCCTCTATCAACAAATGGCTCCCTCTATCTAGAAAGACAGGTATTATATTATGGAATTACTCATTAGCCAGGCAACGTCTTACTGTTTTTTTTCTACCGAAGCTATTATAGTATTGCGCAGCCCCTCGGGGGCGGCCGCGACACAGCCCCAGCACACCGTATCACTAGTTTAGCAGTAGATAAAATAATCGCGCAGAGCCGGTCATAGATAGAACGCTGGTTTCTATACGAAGTATCGTATTATAATGGATGAAATAACAGCGTTGACCCGTCGCTGTTTTGAATTCGACGATGGGGAGTAGACGTGCGTCGAGCCTCAAGCTTACGGGTTTAGCGAATATACAATGCATATTAAAAATATATTTCAGTTTCATTTGCCTTTTTTGAACAGAAGCAAACAACAGAGTAAAGCTAATAAAGATTAACAAAAAAAAAAAAGAAAAAAAAAACGTACATACTAACTATAAAACAGCCTATAGCCCCTTCCGCCTGCGGCGCAGTTTATTAATATCTGTAGCCCTTTCAGAGATTCACCGGCCGCTGTTAGTTACACCTTCTACACCACACACACACATAAAATAAACATCTTCTACGTCCGATGAACGCTATTTCTTCTATTTTCCATTTTATTCCTCGCACAAATGATTGTTGCCGGTTACATTTTCTTACCAGTGGCACTCCATATAGATAGATCTCCGCATGGCCGTCGCAACATCAACGACCGACTAAATTTTGCACAGGCCAAATAGCTCTATTCACACAATATTCGTCGTCGTCATTTCATTTTTTCATATAGATTATATGTATCTATAAATATATTTTATCTTTTTCTACTTATCGTTTCTATTCTCCATGTCTTTCTCTTTCGCGCTATTTTCTTTTCCTATTTTTTTCATATTATTCCCCTGTTTCGCTTCGTCATTTTCCGCTCGTTCACCCCCAGTTTCCCCCGCTTGTGTCTCTATAGTATATATTTCGATAATGTCGTATTGTTCCATTGTGTTTTGCCAGTGACTGGGGCAGTCCACAGGGGGGGTTCGTTGGCACTGATCGCAGCTGCTGCCACAATCGACACCGCAGCCAAAGTGCCTCCTGTCGCCGCCCCAACGCCGCCACTTCGCTGTGGACACTGGACACCCCAGCTAGGCGGCGGCGGCGGCGGCGGCATTTTCCTGTAAGTCGCCCCGTCCTATAGTTCCCCACAGCCGCACACGGTAGCGATAGCTAGATTAAAACCAGCTCTAACACTGGGACCACCTAGAACAACTTCACTCCGACCTCAGCGGTTGCAACAAATAACAATAGTGGACTATCAATAGGACACATTAGTATAACAACGGCAGCGGTAGCAACGTCAGCCATCACTCACCGTTTCAGCTACCTGGCGACGGCGACGGCCGCAATGACACGCCAGTCATCATATGAAGATGATGAATAGGAAAGAAAGCAGCCAGCGGAAATTCTACTGCAACTAAAAATAGACTATGCAACAGAATGAAACGGGGCGGACGGAAAAAATGTGACAATAGCGGTAGATTTTGGGTGTTGGAAGTAGCAGGTGGCGGCCATCGCTGCTACAAGAGCAGATGCGTGACAACGACATTGCCACAACGCTAACTTCTGTCGCGAGCAGTCTATATAACAGGTAACATATAGGACTTTTCGTCAGGTCTGTGTGTCCTGGTGGACAGAGTGGTGAGCGGAAAATTCAAAAGCGACAAACTCGCCGTTGTTGGCTTAAAGAAACGCCATAGAAAGCAGAGGGACGTCTAAGCAGAAGACCAAGAATACGTAGTGATGCTGAAGTCGTCAATGGCTAAGGTAGACGCTCAGGTTTGGATCAGCTGAGGTGAATCAATCGCTTATAAGCACGACGCACATATGAGAAACCACAATGCATTTGCATTGTGGTTTCTTCTCATCGAAATATGTTTACGTACATATGATAGGAGTAGATGAGCCAGCGAAGGAGTGAGGATTGAGTCTATAAGTAACAAACATGATTTGTAAGAGTAAAAAGTTGCCGGTGAACGGGTGTGAGAAATGAGTGATAGATAGAATAAGCGAAGCGTGGTAAGCTCGTTATTTTTCGAGTAGCGAACGATAGATAGGGCGGCACTATTAAAAGTGGGGAAAAGCTGATTCAGTTTTAACTACCCTGATGTAGGCACCGATCGGTAATATAAACAGATACTGTCGTTTCTGCATTATTGCAAAAAAAAGTTCTTCTAGATCGAATGAAATTTTGATATTATAAATGCGTATTTTCGAGGTGGAATTATATTCTGTTATAATCTTTCTCAATTAAAAAAGGTTTGTTCGATGACGATTAGTAGTAGTAGTAGTAATAGTGTCCCTTGTCCAACAACTTCAAGTTATTCTTGAAATCTAAAGTTGAACGAGTTTCAAAATTTATTGAGGTACCCAAGCACAACTTTATATACAAGGCAGAATCCTATTTTTAGCCTTAGTAAATTAGGCGAATACCAAAGGGTAAAATTACAGAATAGGGTCGAAGGCTATTTGGTATCCATCAGACGTTGCACTGACGGGCTATAGCCGTCAAATTGCTAACGTTGAAATTGCGCACATCGTTTTTCGAACACATGTCTTCTACGAATTAATTTACGTTAGCTCTCTAGTTTTTTGTCTACGCTTGTTATCTAGACATCTACCGCACAAATAGCCAACTTGTATGCTGCCAAACAGTACGACAATACGTTACGTCACAAAATAAAGAATCGTGCCCGAATCGGTTCAAAAAACTAGTCTTATGGAGCAAAACAGTGGAAAGCCCCCGACGTTTAAATATGTATTCTTATCTCGTACTCTGTAGCGTCAAGATTTAAGCAGATATGAAACACCATCCAAAAAATCAGCCCATCTCGAACCATACTTTATAATCTTTGCCTTCATCCCTGCGAACACTTTTTACGCTCGCCGATTGCATGCGTATTTTGCGGCATATACCTGCGCGGAGGGCTGAGGTTTGTCTTGACAAGTAATAAAAAAAAAAAACAACTTATGACACTACATTCGCCTGTACCGCGGTCCTGCTCGTCCCCGTCGGATCAGACTGAACTGTGGGACTCCCAAACGACGGACGGATAAATAGACGGATGTGTTGAGCTCGACCAAATGAACAAGAGAGTGATTGTAACAGGGCGCCGCCCGAAGTCACCGGTTCAGCCTCGCCTCTGTCGAGACAGAGAAGGATAAAGAGAAACGAAGCTCTGGAACTTAAAGAACCCGGTGGGCAACGGCCCTGGGCTTAGTGGATAGAAATTATTTCGCACCACGAAGAACCTACAAAATGGTGTTTCGATGCTTGTCTCGTCTGCCGGTGCGAACTAGCTCGTTCTCGGCTGACCTCTCTTGGCTATCTCAGACCCACTT